ATCTTATAATACTAAATTTGATTTATAAGCATCAGTATAAATTCATGATATGCTTGCTCTTTAAAAAGTCTATCCAATAAGAAACCTAAACAGTGGCCATCGCACTAACAATTAGACTATAATACTTAAATACCATATTCTGCTAAAAGGATTTAATAACTGAAAACATGTATGGTGCACCCAGAACACCACAAGACAGAGTCCAAAGACTACCTAGATGTGTCTTAAGGAAACAACTTGAAACATCTCCTTTTAGTCAAGTGTTTTAGTCAGCCTTAGTGTCACTGTGACCAAAATACAACAACAACTAAAGAGAAGGAAAAGTTTATCTGCAGCTCAGAGTTTCAGAGATCTCAGTCCATAGACAGCCAACTCCACTGCTCTGAATCTAAGGTGAGGCAGCACATTATGGGGGATGGTAGAGGCAGAGGAAAGCTGTCTCTCCCTTTTGGCAGGGGGATGGAGACAGGAAGAACAACCTTTCAGGGCACACCCCCAGTGACCCTCCTCCTTCATTCATGCCCCATCTGCCTAGAGTTACCACCCTGTCAGTTCCCTCAAAGTAGGATGGACTGATTAGGTTATAGCTCTCATAATCAAATCATTTTGCCTCTGGATATTCCTGCATTAACAGAAGTTTTGGGGGGACACTTCATACCTGAAGCACAACATGAAGTTTGGGACATCAAGGGAAAATGTTGAATGTTATTTCTATTGTGAGAAGGATGAAAAAAATGTTTAACTATTACATTATATTAAATGTTACATATTAACACATCATTGAGACATCATTAAACATTAAGTTCTGAGTTCATCTAAAAAAAAAAAAAAAAAGTGGTCACCTTCAAAAAATGCTGGGGAATCAACTCAGTTGTCTAAGAGCTATTCCAGAGAATAAAGCATATACCCTGCTCTTCTCTTTCCAGTAACAACTGTACCTCAGCTAATCTCAGTTCATATATAATAGCTATCTGATATAAAAAGTATTCCAGCTAATAAAGACATTTAGAATATGACAAATTTACAAACTCTAACTAAAATTAAAACTATACTGAGATTCCATCTCAATCCAGTCAGAATGGCAATCATCAAGAATACAAGCAACAATAAATCTTAGTATGGTTTTGGTATCAGGGTGATACTAGTTTCAAAGAATGAATTTGGAAGGGTTCCGTCCTTTTCTATTTCATAGAATAACTTGAGGAGTATTGGTGTAAGTTTTTCTTTGAAGGTCTCGTAGAACTTGGCTGAGAAGACAACTGTTCCTAGGCTTTTCTTTGTTGGTAGGCTTTTGATGGTATCTTCAATTTCATTCAAAATTGATGCTTAAATTTTCTATGTCCTCCTGATTCAATTTGGATAAGTCATGTGTCTCTAGAAATTTGTCGATTTCTTCATTACTTTTTATTTTATTGTAGTATAGACTTTCAAAGTAGTTTCTGATTATCGTCTGTATTTCAGTGGTGTCCATGGTGATATTTCCTTTATCATCATGAATTTTAGTAATTTGAGCAGTCCCAAACAAAGACCAAATGTTCTCTCTGATATGTGGATGCTAACCCACAACAAGGGTGGATAAAGAGAGGAAGAATAGAAGTTCATTGGATTAGACAAAGGGGAATGAAGGAAAGGGATGGAGGGACAGGAATAGGAAAGACAGTAGAATGAATCAGACATAACTTTCCTATCCTTTTATATGAATACACAACCAGTGTAACTTCACATCATGTATAACCACCAGAATGGATCCTAATTAGAATAAGTTATACTCCATGTATGTAAATAAATTGGAAAAAACAGAAGAATTTACCCTTGAGGAATATACCAGCTCCTAAAGTGAATACACACAAGGCAATATGAGGGAAGGCAAGCAGAAAGCAACTATTAAAAAACTACAGAGCTGAGAAGAAAATTTGGCAGTCTCATAATGCTACAAAGCCCAGAGCTTGCCAAGATAAATAAATACTCCAGTTTTTCTGTTTAGACTCAGAGAAAGGCTATACCCTCTAAGTCAGAGAGGGTCAACAAGAAACAGAAGAGCCCCAAAGTCTAATTGCCAGGCCAGAGCATATCAAGGTAACTGCCTTTAGGATGCTTGCCTTCTGAGAGGGTAGGGTAACACATCACATTCATTATTTTGCTTAACAAAACCTTACAAGGAAAAAAACTACCTTCAAAGGAAAAAGAACTGTCTGATTACTTTAAGAATACTAGTATACAATAGAAAGCTATTTCTGAAGAGAAAAAACTGCCAAGATGGCCATCAAAAAAATGAAGATGAAATAAAGAAGTTTTCACTAACAAACACATACTACAAAGAAACACAGAAAAAGCATCAAAGAAAAAAAATTTTTTAAAAGGACTGGGGGACGCAGCTCAGTGGTAAAATGCCCCTGCGTACAATCCCCAGTACAAAAAAATATATATATTATACACATACACACAATAATTTTGAAGAACTTAAAAACAATATGCTACTTACGGAGACAAATGTATACATTTACAGGCATAAAAAAAGTACAAAGATGATAAAAGATTCACAACTAAAACACTAACCAAGCCGGGCACAGTGGCTCAGAGCTGTAATCCCAGCTCAGGAGGCTGAGGAAGGAAGATCACAAGTTCAAAGCCAGCCTCAGCAAAAGAAATGGCAATAAGAAACTCAGTGAGACCCTGTCTCTAAATAAAATACAAAATATGGCTGGGATGTAGCTCAGTGGCTAAGTGCCCCTGAGTTCAATCTCCAGTACTCACCGCCCACCCCCCCCACAAAAAAAAAAAAAAAAAAAAATACTAACCAAAAGAAAGTCTGGCTAATAGCAAACTAAACCAAAGTATAGGTAAAGACACAAAGGAACATTTTACAATAACGTTTCACATTAACAGCAAAATGTAATACTAAATTTTATGTACCTAGTAACAATATCAGAATGGATATCTCAAATTCAAAATTTTTCTTCACTTATCAAAAAAATCAACTTACAGTCATTAGAAAACAGCAAACTGCTATAGCCTGTAGTCAGTCAAACTACATTCTTTTAAAAATAAAATCATTAGAAACACCACTTGTCCACATATAGTAATATAAAGAAATACTGGTATAACTTTTCCCTAAATATATTCTGACATATAACTTCAGAAACCTAAACTTCTTAAATTTTCTTCAGGTCCTTCACAATTTGAGTCAACATTGTATGATGCCTTATGCCTTAAAATAATTCTTGATGATAATCTTTCATGGTATATTAACCAAACTGATGTTATTAAAGGGGGAAAATAATGTCATTAGACAAAAATTCCTAGCAACATCTACTTATTATAGCGCTTCCACAATTTGGAATATCACTGTCTTGCAATTATTGTCATATAACCAACAGTTGTATAAATCATGCTGCTACCCATCTGTCTTCTAAACTTTTCTGACAGTCACATTTTTACAAGTGCTAGAACTGTTTCAAAATAATTTGTAATACACATGGAAGTCTTTGAATTCAAGTTTTTCTAAAACTTTCTGATTTACAAATCACCATTATCTACAGAAACGGAAATAGACAAAGATAAGTAATTCTGACATATTCATTCAAAATGAATAATCTCCACTATTAGTCTTTACAATATGGAGTTAGTAGTAACAAAAATTATAATAGTCATCTCAACACAAAAAAGAACAAGGTGTCCCCAACAAATAAGCCAAGGAAGAAACTACATCTCAGACATCTGCTATTCCAATTTTCAAGTTCTCGGTAGCCAAAACCACCAATATTCAGATTCTCCAAAGTTTACCCATTAAGATCACCTAATATCATTAAGTCTGGTCTCAGAATCTCTTTTAATCATAGACATTTTCAATAAGGTCAACATGGACGTAAATATCCATATTTCTGGAATTTAAGGACTTTCAAACAGGATAACCCAATTCATTTACCAACACTATTTTTTTAGACTAACATTATCATAGAAGAAATTAAAATTTTAAAATAAAAATAATGGTGGAGTTGAATCCATACTGGTATCTTCAACACAGAATCCAACATTCACTGGAAAGTATTTCTTTAGGGAGTCAATTATGTCAATAGTCTACAATGATTCATAAGACATGCATATCGTGCTAGTTGTCATATCAAAATACAATTTAAAAGCATTTCTCCAAACCATTTGCATATCAGAAACACTTATACTTTATTCTCTAATTTTTAGGAAGACAAGGCAAAGTAACAGTTGCTAGAATAATTTTAAACAGAAAGAATATTTGGTGAATTTGATAAAATGTGTTCTATAGCACATCAGTCCTGCAGAATACTGCTGAAGAGAATGATTCTACACCCAAATAATTTTGGTAGCTATAGCACACTTTACCACTTACTCTTTTGTAGAGTCACAACATCCATGAAAACATTCAAATGTTCTGAGAAGTCCTGCAGTGAATAAAACTATTTCCCTTTGACACACAAGTGTTATTTATCTATCTAGAAACTCACTCACACTCCCCTCATCTAGGGAAGTGGGGAGGAAGAAAGTTGGTGAATGGTAAAATACCTGTTAACATCTTATAGAAAACTATTGTTCCCTAGTCCACATTTGGGAAATGCTTCATTAGAGCATTCTCACATTAAAAGATACATCCAGATTTTGAGTAACTTTAACCAATATACTAACTAGGATTTGCACATCTAGTAACAAAGTATTTTATTCCTAGAAAATATAAATTTAAAATACCAAATCCCTGCCAGGCACAGTGGCACATGCCTGTCATCCCAGTGACTCAGGAAGTTAAGGTAGAAGGATCTCAACTTCAAAGAAAGCCTCTGCAACTTAGCAAGACCCTAAGTAACTTGGCAAGACTCCATTTCAAAATAACAAAGGGTTCAGGATATAGCTCAGTGGCAAAGCACTCTTGGGTTAAATCCCCAACACCAAAATAATAATAATAATAAACAAAATATCAAATTCTTAAACTAAAAAGAACACGAGTTATTTTGATTAAATCCAGGAGTCCATACCTGTATTTTGCTTTTTCATGAACCCATACATATTCAGGGTTTTTCAAGCTCAAGCGAGCAAGGTCCTTTACAGATTTAGTTTGTGTTGCTGAGAAAAGTAAAGTCTGACGTTTCTTGGGAAGATTTTCAATAATAGCATTCATAGTATCAGCAAAGCCCATATCCAATATTCTGTCTGCTTCATCAAGAACTAAAAAAGGAACATGCAAGTTAAGCCATAATATTTAAAATAAACATTAAATGCAATGTAATATCCTAAACAATGGAGTACTATAGACTAGATCCCAAAACAGAAAAAAAAAAAAAAATTAGTAGAAAAACTCATATGAAATTTGACCAAAATCTGACATAGCATACCAATGTCAATCTTATTTTTTACAAAGGTATCATAGTTACCTAAAAGATTAACACCAAGGGAACTAGGTGAAAGACATAGGAACTCTTACTATCACCATGACTTTTATTTAAGTCCAGAAGTATTCAAAAGTAAAAGGTTTATTAAAATACATATTAGGTAAAAAGACCACGTAAAAAAGAAAGTTCATTTTAAAAATGACAATTTGAGGATTGGGGATAAAGCTCAATGATAGAACACTTGGCTAGCATGAGCAAGGTTCTGGATTTGATCCCTAGCACCACAGAAGAAAACATGACAATATGACATTTCAAGTTAGGAGAAGTGGGTGTTACCTAAACTAAAACATTCTTAGTAGTGCCTAATACTAAAGCATCTAATTTCATATGTAAAAGTACATATAATACTTTCTTTCAAAAAAAAAGGCCTAGCTTGCGCTCTCTGGGTTGAGAGTCTAAATGCTAGAAAAATTGCAAGTTTTTTCTCAGGTTTTAATCACATTTATCCAATAGAACAATTCTATCATTAAAATTTATGAGGGCTCTCTCAAAAGTAAGCTTTTTCTCTTCAGAAATTCATGAGACTCACCTAACATTTGGAGATTGGTGGCATGAAAACATATTGTTTCATCCATGTGTTGCAGAAGCCGACCTGGTGTGCAAACGAGTATATTTATGTTGTTGATCCTCTCAGCTTCATGTTTCAGATCCTGAAAATAGTTGTTTCTTTTGATTACACTACGTCTTAAAGCAGCCTGTGTACTAATACTACAAAAGCCATCTACATGGTATTTCTTCATAGCAGCTTAAATACTCTCAGAAATAAATGTAACTGCTCCCTTCCATTTCTGTAGTACATCCACATTTATGACGTAATAAACATCTTTAATGAAGACCTAGAAAGCTCAGAGTTCTTCTAGATTCTTAATCATACCCAGGATTTTGATGCCAAGAAAAACTATCTAGGAAGCTCAGAGTTCTTCTAGATTTTTAATCATACCCAGGATTTTGAGGCCAAGAAAAACTATCAATTGAATGCTCCAAGACTTGATTTCCTATTAAGTCTGCTGGAACTAGTTTAAAAACTGGAATTACTCGCATTCTTTAAGTCAGGATCCACGAGCACTGAAGAAGCTCTCTCCACCACTGCCTGTGCTTTTTGGACTGAAAAAAGGGTTGAGCTTTACATATTAAGAGTATCTATCATTGAGACAAAAGCCAGAGAACATTGTTAGTGCTGTGTGACAGGTACAAGAATAAACAAGGGTTTGTGGTATAATTCTTTGTTCTTGCATGTATGTTTACACAGAAATTCATGAAGTATTTATGCCCATAGTCTAAAGGAAACCCCAGCAGGGGAAAAAAAAAAAGCATTCCAGATGTACTACAAGGTAGAACAAAAGCAGTAGATTCAACCACAACCCAAAATTAACATTCCTCAAAACAATCTATCTTCCTTTTTCTACTGTTGATATAGCAATGTTCTAAATTATCTGAACCTCTAAGTAAAGGTACTAGGGTCAAACACTGAAATGTTATCTTTCCAATGTACAGCAATAAATTTACTCTAATTAGTCTATAAATCTGTCTCAGAGCCTTATCAATTCAGATATCCTGACAAAAATGGACTTCTGAACCTGCAAAATTGACAATCACTCTAGATGACAGCAACCACACCAAGAAAAACTCATGAAATTTGACCAAAATCTGACATAGCATATCAATGTCAATCTTATTTTTTACAAAGGTTTCATAGCCACCTAAGAGATAGGAAGCCAGTTCCTCCCTATCAACTGCCACAGTGCTCCCACATAAGTTACTAAAGGCAGGGAAGGAAGGACAAGGACAAAAGGACAAACCTTTCCACCAATGATGAGACCAGCTGAGAAGTCATGGTTCTTTCCTACTTTTCGGAGAACCTCAAAGGTCTGATATGCCAGTTCTCGTGTAGGTGATATTATCAGAACACCCAGCCCATCAGTTGAGGTCCACTGCAGACGGTATAAGGCTTCCAACACCTTGAAGACAACAGTAAATTCATGTTCAATAAGTCTTTTAAAAAGTCAGCTTTTTTGATCTGGCTCTCAGCCTTGCCACTCCAAATTGAAGGCAACTTCCAGGCACAACGCATACTACTCCCAGGTTTTACCCAATCTGAAAGAGACTATTTTTCTTCCATCTACCAGAAGCACCCACCCCCAATTCAGACAGATAAGAAAAGACGACTGATAGCAGCTCATCTGATGCCAGAGTCATGCTATCAGGTGACTGGTTATCAAAAAAGTCAAACCATAGTCCACTGAAACAGATTTATGAAAATAATAATAGTAAACTCTTATCTCTATAGCTATAGTTATAAAGTGACTGGATTCTAATTGTAGAAAAATAGTGCTATTTAAAAAAAACACATACACACACACACAAAACACCAGAATTTAAAAGAGAAAAATGGTTTTTTAGAACTTGGAACAAAAATTGTGATTTCTCAAAGCCAATTCTCTCGCAGTACTCAAATCAAAAGATTAACTACATAACAGATATAAGCAACTCTACTGTTCTACTATAAAGGATAGCTATCAATGTTCCAGAAAATTCTCAACAAATGCCCACTCCTTGAAGTGAACATATTTCAGCCTTATCCTAAACAGGTGGCAAGTATAAATGTTACTGGCAGGCTTTCTGAGGTGAAAACAGAAATAGTTTTCTCCACCAGTCCTACTACACATGAAATACCCTGCCCCTTCAAGAACATACTAGCTTGTCAAGATATAGTAATTCATTCATTCAATAAGTTACTTAGTGCCTGCCATTGAGTTGGGGAATATGGTGGAAAAGAGGACAGATATGGCTCCTATCTGAAAAAGCTTGCATTCTAGCCAAGGAAACCCAACATGAACACACATCTTTATATAATTATTTCCATTCAGCACAAAATATTATAAAATTATATAACTGAGGATCTGAATCATTATAGATGTACTTACTGGAACAAGAAAAGCCAAAGTCTTGCCAGATCCAGTTTTGGCAGCTCCAAGTACATCTTTACCTTGCAAAGCCAACCCTATGGTCTGCTTCTGTATCTCAGTTACCAAGCGGTACTGGGCTTCTTGCAAACCTGGAATTGTGGATAGAAAAACAGTAATTCAGTGGACGGGGATATAGCTCAGTTGATACAGTGCTTGCCCAGGGTTCAATCCCCAGCACCACCAAAAAAAAAAAAAAACAGGACTTCAGAAAATTCTTGTACAATGGTGTTACAATTTCAACTGTATCTTCCCACCTCAAGAGGTTCCTATGCTAAAGCCCTAATCCTCAATACCTCAGAATGTGCATTTGGTGAGAAGGCTTTGAAAGAGATGATTAAGTTAACTAAGAGCAGATTCCAATCCAACAAGACTGATGTCTTTATAAGCAGAAATTTGAACAAATACACGAAGGGTGCAGGTGCACATAGGGACAACCATGTGAAGATGCAGCACAATACCATATAACCCAGTGATCCCACCCCTAGGGTTACATGTCAAGTATATGATATCAGTATGCTGAGGTATCTACACTCTCATGTTCATGGTAGCACACTGTCCACAATAGTAAAAGTATGGAATAAACCTGTGCATGAGTGGATAAAGAAAATGCAGTATACATATAAAACAGATTATCCAGCATTAAAAGGAAATCCTATCATCAGTGATAATACTGATGAACCTTGAGAGAATTATATTAAATCCAATAAGTCAGGTACAAAAAGACAAATGCTACATGATCTCACCTACATGTGAACTCCAAAAAAGCCAAACTCTTAAAAGTAGAAAGTAGAATATTGTTAGCAAAAGTTAGGGATTGGAGACAATTTTGCTCAAAGAATACAAAATTTCTAGTTTAGATTGAATAAGTTCAAGAGATTTGTTGTACAGCCAGGCATGGTGGTGCATGCCTGTAATCCCAGCAGCTCAGGAGGCTGAGGCAGGAGGATCTTGAGTTCAAAGCCAGCCTCAGCAACGGCAAGGCACTAAGAAACTCAGTGAGACCCTGTCTCTAAATAAAATAAATACAAAAGAGAGCTGGGGATGTGGCTAAGTGGTTGAATGCCCCCAAGTTCAATCCCCCCAACAACAACAAAAAAAAATCTACTGTACATCACAATGACTATAGCTAATATACTTGAAAACTGCTGACAGATTTTAAGTAGCCTTATTACAAAGAAAAGTATCAGCATGTGAGGTAATGCATGTTAATTAGTTTGATTTGTGGCTATTCTACAATGTATGTGTGTTTTTTGGAAATACCATGTTGTACAATATACATATCTATACAACTTTTGTCAAAAAAAAAAAAAAGAGGCAACAAGGAGGAGGACACCTGCAAGGCAAAGAGGAAAGCCTGGAAGAGGCTTCCCTCATGGCTCTGAGAAGAAACCAAGCCTGCCAGCACATTGATCTTGCACATCTTGCCTCCAAAATGCAATAAAATTAATTTCTATTACGTAAAGCCCCCAATTGATAGTTTGTTATGACATCCCTAGAAAACTAATACAAAGTGTCACATCTTTGTTCTCCTGCTTATATTAACAAACACAGTTTCATTACTTAGAGGCTCCTGGCATCTTTTTTTTTTTTTAATTTTTTATTGTGGGTTGTTCAAAACATTACAAATTTCTTGACATATCATATTCCACACTTTGATTCAAGTGGGTTATGAACTCCCACCTTCACCCCATACACAGATTGCAGAATCACATCAGTTACACATCCATTGATTTACAAATTACCATACTAGTGTCTGTTGTGCTCCGCTGCCTTTCCCATCCTCCACCCTCCCCCCTCCCCACCTCTCCCTCCTGGCATCTTTTTAATCAATGGATTTTTAGCTAGTTCAGAAAGATTAAAAAGTGACAAATTATTAAAAATCACTATTTGCCTAGGTTTTTATAATATCAAAATTGTTTATAGAATAAGATTTTTTAGGTTAACCTCTCTTTAAATCATCTCCCTTAAAAAATAATATAACGTGTTCCAAGATTATGACATACCTACCTTTCAATGTTTTTTTAGACAAGGGGAAATCTGAAAATCTTGTAATTTCATTTACATTTATCTGGGGGAAAAAAGATAAAGAAAATGTCAGATAATGCAATCTACTGAACAATTTATGTTTCCTAATTAAATCACTTTTTCTCTACATTGTGCTGCCTAACTCATCCTTGATACTGAAGGACTGAATTCAACCATCATTTCTAAATAAAACCAAGCATTACTATTGAAATATTTTGAGGAATGTGTCATGAATTGAAAATTAGAATTTGGAACTATCCCAACTGACCCTCCCCCCAAAAAAAATCCACTTAAAATACATGACAACAGGGGCTGGGGATGTGGCTCAAGCGGTAGCGCGCTCGCCTGGCATGCTTGCGGCCCAGGTTCGATCCTCAGCACCACATACAGACAAAGATGTTGTGTCCGCCAAATACTAAAAAATAAATATTAAAAAATAAAATACATGACAACAAAGCATAGTGGTCCATGCCTAAAATACCAGCCACATGGAGTGCTGAAGAAGGAAGATCACAAGTTTGAGATCAGCCTGGGCAAATAATCAAGACCCTGTCTCAAAATTTAAAAAAATAAATAAAAAGGACTGGGGATATAGCTCAGTGGTAAAGCAATACGGGGCTCAATTCTGAGTACCCCCTTCTACACACATACACACACACACACACACACACACACACACAAAACCACCACATTACCTATACTTTGAACATCTTTAACTTCCAAATATTAAGACAATCATCACAGCATCAACTGTGGAAGGAAAATTTATTTTCAGTCATCTTTCAAAGCTTATCAGTTTAAGAAATAAGAGGTAAAATGACTACAAACTATGGACTCTGGTGAGACTAGTTCTATTTGCACATGTTAAAGATTTACATTACCTGGAGAAACACCTCAATAGCACAAAACTCTCAATATTTTAACCATAAATCAGGCATATGAAACCAACCCAACTAGTCATTTTAGGGTATATGATGGAGGGCTGTTATTTCAAAATAACCAGACATGTCTTGGGTCATATTTTGAAGACACAATAACATTTTGCCCTTTAACTTTACATTATTCAAACGTTCATTATGACTGCTCTTCGTTAGCATAACTCAAATTTCCTTTATTTCATGTTAGATACTCAGGAGAATTATTTTATTACAGATGCTGAATGCAAGAACTACTGCTCAGATCTGTGAATATGCTGCCAAATTATTCATGACTCACAAAAGAGAAAAGCTGCATTTGTAAGGTTAGTTTTCTTAAATTACACTCTAGGCACTAAAGGCATGCCAACTGCATTTCATTTTATAATCTTTACAACATCTTTCCCACAATTCTTAAACATGGCCCAGGCAGGATTATTCTCTGTCCTCCCATACTAAAAACAAAATATTAAAACGTTGTCTTAATCCCTACAAATCATTCCAGATCGTCAATGGAGAAGAGGTAGAATCAGCATTCAAGAATTGTTTATTCCAATGACATGTTGTTTTAGCAAGGAATTTCATTTGCAAAATAATCTTCCCGACAAGACATTAATTAAGATGATGTGTGTCCCTCTCTTGCACTTGTGGTATCATAAGCTAACAAACTATTTTCACAGGGAACAGAAGGCCTGAGGTGGAAAGAGACTGGCAATGCACCTTACAATATGGGTCCAAAGATTCAGCCAAGGCAAGGTGAGCTACTCAAAGTAGGGCACATCTTCCTAACATCTGTTAACCTTCTACAGTGGAGTTTGGGAAGAACATAACTGTTCTAGAGCTCCAGGGTCAACCACTGCAATAGAGATGCACCATGTTCTTTATTTATTTTTATTTTTTAAAGAAGCACTGAGGACTGAACCCAGAGCCATGCAAGCACTCTACTGTGCTACATCCCCAACCCTGGGCCACATTCTTTAAAGAGTTTACCAGAGAAAAGGAAATTTTGATTCTGCTGATACACTAGAACAGGAGTCAGCAAACTATGTCCTACAGATCAAATCCTTGGTTTTGTAAATAAAATTTTACAGTAACACAGATACAGCTAGTCAGTTACACACCGTCTATACAGTTGATTGTTTGACCCACACAGCCTAATATTGACTATGTGACCTTCACAGAAAAGTTTGCCAACTGGAAGATTCTCAGTTATATTCCAAAGATACCTGAAATCACAGCAGAAAACAACCATCTTGCTGAGCGACTCAGGAGGCTGAAGCAAGAGGATAACAACTTCAAGGCCAGCCTTAACAATTTAGTGGGATCCCGTCTCAATAAATGAATGAAAAGGGCTGGAGATATAGCTCAGTAGCAAAGCATCTCTGGGTTCAATTTGCAGTTGCCAAAAAGGGCATCATACCCTTACCCCATCCCTTCATCCCTTAGAAACAAACAACAAAAGTCAATTCCAGCCAGGCACAGTGTAATCCCACTTGCCTATAATCCCAGCAACTCAGGAGGCTGAGCAGGAGGACCATGAGTTCAAAGGCAGTCTCAGCAACTGTGAGACGCTAAACAACTCAGTGAGACCCTGTCTCTAAATAAAATAGAAAATAGGGCTAGGGATGTGGATCAGTGGCTGAGTGCCCCGGAGTTCAATCCCCAGTACCAAATTAAAAAAAAAAAAAAAAAAAAAAAAATCAATTCCTATCTATATAACCCTCACACTCCCTCTAAAATCTGTATCATTCTTCCGAATTCAGAAAACAGAAAGTTTAGAGATGGTCCTTATTAAGTACTTCCACACAGGTAGAAAAGCTGGAGGGAACAGAGGGGATTTTAGGGTGGGTACCACTTAACCACCTTCTTATACTCTAACATCTACTTCTCAAAAAAGTGAATAATGCCTACAGTAAAAAGGATAAATGTTCTACTTACAGCAATCTTCAAAAGAAGATAAACAACTTGCCTCCAATTACACCAGACCAAATTTTGATTAAAAAACAGGACTCCAGGTAGTACAGCTGATCATAAAAGCCCAAATGAAACTCATGTTGAGTTTGTGTCAGTCAGAAATAGAGAAAATAATTCCTGAATTAAAACAAATAACTCAGTATTTGTGAGTAAACCTCAGTCTCCAGATCTGCATCAGTCTAATACAAACCCTCTTCCACACACCCCTATATAATAGCCTTAGAAATACAGCCTCAAATCTCCTGCTTCAGGGAGCATAGCTGGCTGCCAGCACTGTATCCCTCTAATCCAACAACACTGAAAAAGTTATTCTTCCCCTGGGCTGCTCCCAGTCAGTCACTGAGCTCCGCAATAGTAGAACTACAGTTCTGCTTAACCACAGTCCAATATATATTACACTGAAGCTCCAGGAATAAATAATTCCTAAGTTTTATATTGTTTTTACTACAGTATACAGTTATAATTATTCTGCTGTGTTGTTGTTAATCTCTAACTGTGCCTAATCTATAAATTAAACTGTATTATAATTTATGTATAGGAAAAATCATAGCACATTTAGGGTTTAGAGCCATCCAGTTTCAGAAAAGCAGCCACTGGCAATCTTGAAATGAATCCTATGTAGATGAGGGAGTGCTACTATACAACTACAGGCCCATTCCTACAGACCAAAGGATTCCTGTAAAGGGTGTTAAAAGGAAAATTTGTTAGACCAAATTCTGTAGTTTCTTTGAGCAGAACAAAAAGAAATTGTGATTTGGGCAGCTCTCAGAGCCAGAGAAGTTCTCAGAATTCCAATCAACAATGTGATCAGTCAGCCTTCACATGAAAACAGCTCAAGACATACAAAATAACTTAATTGGCTCTATAGCCTAGTCAATCAGTCAATTAGTTACAGCTTAACTTGTTCACTGTGTATAGCCTCATCAGGTAACTGACTACAGGGTCTTCTGCAACCAGCTAAACCTTCTTATGGTTAAACTCTGTTGGGCCCAATGCAGAAGCTCAATCCTAAAACATGGCTTCCTTCGGAATTTTACATGGTCAACAGTCAACCTTGGAATGAGGACTCTCCAACAACTTGGCCAAAACTGTCTTAGAATTGTGCTTCACTCTGATTCTTTCTACCTACTCCCTCTTCCTTCTCCTTCATATTTCAAATATTTCCTCCCAATAAATCTCCAACTCACACAATCCCATCTTGGCATCTGCTTCTCAGTGGACACAACACTGGACTACGCTGATGGGCTCCTACCTGGTCTTTTGGGCTACAAATCCTTTACAGCTTGTATATATCCTGCCCAACTGCTTCCAGATGAAAAATCTATGAGCATGGCCTCCATATAAATTTCCTCTTGTTGCTGTACAGATTATCATACTATGTCTTAAAGCAACAAAAATTTGCTACCTTACAATTCTGGAGGTCAGAGGTCCAAATGGGTTTCACTTAGCTGAATTCGAGGTATTGGTAGAGCTACATTCTATCTGGTGACTTTAGGCAAGAGTTCATCTCCTTACTTTTTCCAGCATTTTCCTTAGCTATGTATGGCCCCTTTGTTTTCCATTTCATTTATTTGAGATAGGGTCTCAATATATATATTGCCCAGGCTGGCCTGAAATTCCTGGCCTCAAGCAATCTTCCTCCCTCAGCCTTGGCAGTGGCTGGGACTATGAGCAGGCCCAGCAGTCCCTGCCTCCCAATTGAAAGACAACAACAGACTGGAGTCAAGACTTTCTGACATCACATGACTCTGAATCTTCTGCCTCCCTTTTCCTCTTGCACAGGTAAGAATACATTAGGCTCACCTGAATATGTACCCTAAAGTTTGCTGATTAGCAATCGTAATTACCCCTTACCATCTAATATAATCACAGGTTCTAAGTATTTGGAGGAGGCATTATTCTGCCTACCACAGTCTCCACAGTCCTTCATAATCCACCTCCAACCCTCTTGCCCAACCCCATTTGAAGCCAGTTCAGAAACACATACAACATCCCAAGGAGTATTTCCTCCCTCAAGAAAACCATGTGTTTTCATATCACCTTGTGTTTCCTCATGCTGGTCCCTCCTCCCAGAGGGTCCTTGCCAATAACTTCCATCTTCCAGTTAATTTAACTCATTTAAGAAGAAGCTCCACCCTAAGCCACCACAAACCAC